TACAGAGTGGTCCCCCTGCTGCCCCAAGCACCCAGCTGGCCCCATGCATTCCGCATGCTGCAAACTGCTTCTCTGTGGCTGTTCTGTAACGACCGATTTGTACTGCTTAACCCTTCACCGTTTTCACCCAGCTCCCAGCTGTCAGCCCCTGCCCTCTGACAGCTGTCAGCCTGTTCTCTGGGAGTCTGTTTCTTTGTTTATCTTGTTCATTAGATTCTACATATAAGTGAAGTCATATGGTGTTTATTTTTCTTTGACTGGCTAATTTTACTTAGCATAATACCCTCTAAGTCCATCCATGCTGTAACAAAAGATAAGATTTGCTTCTTTTTTATGGCTGAGTAGTATCCCGTTGTGTACATGTACCACAGCTTTTTTATCCACTCATCTACTGATGGCCACTTGGGCTGCTGCCCAATCCTGACTACTGTAAATAATGCATCACTGAACATAGCAGTGCATCCGTCTTTCAAGTCAGTGTTTCAGGTTTCTCCAGATGTATTCCCAGAGGTGCAGTTGCTGCAACAGAAGGCAGCTCCACTTTTAATTTTTTTGAGGACTCTCCACACTGTTTTCCACAGTGGCTTCACCAGTCTGCGTTCCCACCAAGAGTGCACTCTAGGGCTCCCTTGTCTCCACACCCTCACCAACACTTGTTTGTGGATCTATAGATGATAGCCATTCTGACAGGTGTGAGGTGATATCTCATTGTGGTTTTGATTTGCATCTCTCTGACATTTTATAAGCTTCCTAATTTCCAAAATGACCAAGATTGCTTTGATCTATAGGTTAATTTGGGAAAATTAACATGTTAACAAAATTTTAGTCTTCAGATACCCCAACATGTCATATCTTTTCATGTACTTGGGCCTTCTTTAGTTTCTTTGTACCGCAGGCCGACGCTCCAACCGCTGAGCCAAACCGGCCAGGGCCTTCTTTAGTTTCTTTATCAGTGTTTGCAATGCGTTTTCAGCACACGTATCTTGCACACTTTGCACACACCCTTCTTAAAATTTATCCTTATGTATTTTGTTTTTGATGAAGTAGACAAAGGTATTTTTTAGGTGGTACACCAAAAATCACAAGCTATAAAAGCATTTTGTGAAAGATATTGTGGTGTGTGTGTGTTTTTTTTTTAAATTTCAGATTTCATTGTCGTTGCTTGTTTGTACAAACACAATTGATTTTTCTGCATTAACTTTGTATTCTGTGGCCTTGCTAAACACTTATTCTACTAGCTTGTCTTGTAGATTTTCCTATAGATTCTATGAATAAAGACTTTTATTTTTCCTTTCCAGTCTGTGTGCTCTTGTTTCTTTGTCTTGCCTTCATGCACCTGCTAAGATACCAGGTTGAACAGGAGAGATTAGAACAAACTTCTCTTCCACTCGCTCATGCTCAGGGAAGCATTGGGCTGTCCCTCATTAAGTCTGATTGTTCATCTTCCCCCATGTCCTCTACTGCCTCTGCCTGGTTTCCCACATCATTGGGCCTCTGCCGAACTGCCCGGTGTGCTCTGTCTTCTGAACAGACCCCGACAGGTGCAACACCCACCAGAGAAATAATACACGAGGGTGTTAGTGGTGAGAAGACAGGTAGTGCCACTTTGTCCACACAAGAAAGTGAGGCCCAGAGTGATTTAGCGACCTTTTAATGTCACTCTGATAGATTGGTACAACTCTGTAGGTCAGGACATTTAAGTAGATGTTATGGCTGTGGATCAGGTATTCTCTCAGAACAGTATTTAGAAACACTAGTACACGTTTTAAAAGTACACATTTGTATCTTCTTGAGTGTGACCGATCTCTAGAAGGACAGACTGGAAGCTGGTAACAGAGGTGACCCTTGAGTCAGGACCTGTGTAGCAGGGGAAAGAGAAATGTATTCCTGGCTGTATTTTATATTCTTCTGAATGGTCCACATTTTGTACCATGTTCCTGTATTACCTACTTAATATTACATTAAGTACTTCCAGAAGTAGAGAGTAGTAATGTGTGAGCTGTAGAACTCATGTACGCCTTAGATACGACTCCTCCCTATTACAGTTAAAGCTCATTAAAGCATTGCAATTACTGAACATTTCAAACTTCAAACGTAATCCTCTTATCCAGCTAAACTAATCATGGAGTCTGAAGATTCAAAAAAAATTTTTTTCAATGAAATATATTGCCCAGTTCAGTTCCAAGAAATGTTTTGTTAGATGTGGCTTTATTCTTGCAAAATTCAAAAATCATATTGCCATTGGGGGAAACAGGATGGAGTTTTACAGGAGCCAAGCAGAGAGGAAGGAGTCTTCTCTTGGGGGCCATTCTTCCTGGTACCATGTGTGCTGAGGGATGGCCTGAGATGAGCCCCGAGGGAGCCATCCCGCCCTGTGATTGATGCTTGTTGGAGGAAGTTGCATGTGGCCTATAATTTGTGTCTTTAGATTTCTGTGGGATTTACTCTTTCTGCAGCCTGCTTGTGTTTCCTGCCTCTGTCTCTCGCTCTCCCACCTGCAGGCTTCGACTGCGCAGTGGCTTAAACTTACGTGGTGTGTGGCTGGGCAGGATTCAGCTGCAGATGGCTCTGCCCGGTGAGAGCTGAACCCGCGGGGTTGACGTGGACAGTGGCACTGACTCTTGCAGTGCTTGTGTGCGGTGTCCACTTTGAAGGTGGACAAAAGTGCTGGCTGTGTGGCATTAACTGGCCTTGAACGGAGGAGCCCTGGTTGAACGGTTCCAGGGTCTTTCCAAGTCTCCTTTGCAGTGCCTTCCCCCTGAGCATCTAAGAAGTAAATATTCTGAGATAATGAACGGCACAACGGCGGACAGGTGGGGACTGAGGGCAGTGTCAGTGGAAGCAACTGTCCTGACTCTCCAGACGCCTTCAGGCTCCTGGACCAGCCTTTCCATGTTTATTTTGCCTTTCAAACGTCCCGTCTGTGCTGGTGGACGAGTCTGTCGGGGTCTGGAGTCCAGAGCAGAGCTCAATTGACCGAATTCCGAGAACAAGGTGTGAAGACCATGAGAGAGGAAGTCTTGGCCTCTGCCCGTGACGTGCTCCGGCTGGGGCTCCGTGAAACTGGACAGACAGCGTGCAGGTCGACAAGAGAGAAGCAGACAGTTTACCCCTGCCGGGTAGCACATGTCACGGGGGGATCCTCAACGACGGGTAACTCGGGGAGTTCGACTTGGGTTGGTATGGCATCTTAGCAAAGGAATAAATACTTTAGAGGAGGGACAGGACCTAGGGAAAAGGTTCCAGGCCTCAGGGGTGTCATGGCAACTAGGTGGGAAGTGATGGAGTAGTTTGTGCAGGACCATCTGTTGCTGACTCTCTGTCTTCTCTGTGGCTGTAAAACTTCCCAGGGGACACATTCAGGGCAGCCCCCGTTTCCCAGCATTCTGCGTGTAGTCAGATAAGGGCAACTCTGGGAGGACTTCTTTCTGCATCTGTTGATTCTCATTTTCTTCCAGCTCAAGTGATCCTAATGCTGAGGTGGCATTTGGGGTGGCATATTCTGAATGCCCACAGGACCAAAGAGCAGAGTGTTCTCTTCTTTTTCTGAAATCTCTCACTGGGGAACAGATGAGGTGGGGGCCCCCATAAGGTCTTGTGTTAGCCTGTGGGAACAGGACAGGTCCCAGGGGCATACCTAATGGTGGCATTGTAGGGGGACCTCACGGGGTGAGGCTGTAGGGGAAGAAGAAATAATGGGAAAGGCAGGGAAACAAAAGCTGCATATTAAATGCATCTATCTATCTATCACAAAATTCATATATAAATACATATATTTATATGTGTATTTTTATTGAAATTCTAGCTCCAAAGAACCAAGCCTGTGTAAGAAACATAAAAAACGATGTAGAGTGGACATCCTCAACCTTTGAGGCCCACAGGAGTTCCCTGGGGCGCTAGTGAAAACAAGATTCCAGGACTCCACACTGCAGATGGTTTCCTCCATCTGGGATAGGGCCCAGGAACTTGCATTTTAGGAAGCACTCCTGCTATTTCGATGTAGGTGGCCCGTGATCGCACTTTGAGAGACACTGATTCGTAGACCCAGGTGGGCAACAGGAGGGTGGTGGTTCATGCCGGCTGCATCCTCAGTCTTCGTTGTTGCTGTGAACTAACCCCTGCATACACATGTACTCCTGTGACTACAGGCCTGACATGCACACATATGCACACATGCTGTATAAGCTAAATATGCATTCACACACACGCATATTATATAATCTGACTAAACACATGTACACGGCATGCACACACTATGTAAGCATAATATACAGATGCACATGTTATTTAAGCTGAATTTGAACATATATACACATGTTCAAATGCACATACTATATAAGCTAAATATGCACATGTGTATTCTAAGCTATATCTCATACAAGTACACACATACACACACATTTCCGTAAAATCCTTTTCAAAGCCTTGCCAAGCAACAGTGCCCTGTCTCCACTTTGCAGCGTGGGTGTTGAGGCAGGAGGCCCTGGTGATGTGGCGTGGCTAGGTCTCACTGCCCACGGTGCCTTCAGTGCTCCCTCCTTCACCCCGTCCTACATTCCTCCAGGTCCTGAGCAGGATGCCTGTGCAGACGCCTGGCAGAGCTGGTTTTCCATCAATAACTCACATCTAGTATGACCCCACCTTGCTAAAACCACCTTGGGTACCATACAAGTTGTGAAAGTGCTCATACAAAGTGGGCCCTGTCCACGCTTAGGCTGGGCTTCCATGCAGACAGACCCAGGACCACGGTGAAAGTGACGTGTGATGTGTGTTCTGCTAATGGAGTGGGATGGGCACCTTCAAGATGAAATGTTGCATACACTGATCTTACATGAAGGAAGACAGCCTGGTGTTGCTGATTCACCCAGTTATCTATTTTGGACTGCACCGTTTGAACTAATTAGCAGTAAAAATGGAGTGACTTCTGCTTATGAACCTTATTGGGTCTGGAGGATTTGTTCCCTCTTGTGACTGCTTTTCCTCTGCCTTGTATGCTTTAGGGAAGGTGGCCATTCAGAAGGAAGACTTGCAGAAGTACCATAACAGGGACACCTGGTTCCAGCTGCAGCATGTCGACGCTGACTCAGAAGTTCAGGTGAGACCCTCGGCGGAGCCTGGCAACGGGTCTTTGGAAATGGAAGGCTCTGATTGGGGTTAAAGAAATAGATACAGGGTTTTGGTCTTAACAGGAAATAATGGCTAGCAAATTGTGTCCTTCTATTTGTAGTAAGTATAGGCTTGCTAATTTTGTTTGTTCAGTTGGTTATTGTCACACTTTGTCATGCATGATTGAAGCAGCTTTGAAAGTACAAAATGTGAAAGAAGAATAACATAGTTGGAGGAGAAAATGTGGTTAAGAAAATGTAAACCTGTGGGGTGAGAATAGCACACAGAGCCTCTCACTGCAGGTCCCTATGTTTGTTGGGGGTCACGCTCCCATGTGTTTCCACGCTCCCTGCGCTAGGCAAAGAAGCATATAGAAATGACCACTCTGAAGAGGTTCCCATTGTCTGAGGATCCTGGGCTCCCCCTGGCTCCCCTGGGCAATGTGTTAACTGGGATTGACCCCCTGTCCAGTGAAAGGAACTAACCCCCTGGGGTTCCTCCCCCTAGCAGGGAAGACTACAGGGTTCCAGGATCCCAACACTTCCCCATAAGGCTGCTCTTGGACTTGCCCATAACTCAGGGTCACTCCCCATTCTGAGTGTCCAGGAGCACACTTGAACACCCGTCGGGAGGGTGGCCGCATCTCCTCTTCTCTTGTGACCCTGGCTTGTGTCGTTTCCAGTCAAGTCTGTTCCATGCCAATGCCCAGAATTCCAAGCCTAGGAGCCATCCAGACGCACAGTGGCCCTAACACTGAGATGCACCAGTGTTTTCAGCAGCAGGTCCTGTGAACGGCCCAGGCCTAGCGGGAGGCGTGGCTGAGCACTGGGTCTCTGGCGCAGGCGGGTCTGGCTCAGCTCAGTGCTCCCGTCCTCCAGTGAAATGTGCCAGCGGCGGTCCTCTCCAAACCTCGGTCTCCTCATCTGTAGAGCGAGGTTTGTAATCAGCTGGACAGTGACTGGCCCTGCCTGGCATGCACCCCTCCTGGGCTCCTCGCTCGGCACCTGGAGGCCTGGCTGGCCCTCCTGCCCTCACGCTTCCTCCTGGACCCTCAGCCTCCGCTGAGCTTTGAGGGTGAAGGCATGGGGTTTAGGGTTTCTGCCTGCTGAGGCCTTGGGGCGCATAGGTCCTGGTGGCCATCAGGATGGATCCACAAACTCGAACAAAGGGCAGCTGGAGGGAAGGTCAAGGAGCTGAGCCGAAGGGCGGCCTCATTGTGGTGCTTCACACTTAATTAATTCTGACCCAGTGGCCCACACCTGCCGCGTAAATTAGAAGACACTAATTACTGCAGAGCTAGTAACTCTGTCTGAAGTGGAAAAGCGGATGAACATAGCATCGGGAGTACACAGCCAGCCGCGGCCCGGGCACGTGGAAGTCTCGTCTCGGGCAGAGGCGCAGGAGCCCTGTGCTGTCGGGCTCTGTAACCAGCCTTCCTGAGTTGCATCACACGCTTTCCCCGGCGACTGAGAGAGCACGGCGTCCTCCCCCGCTCCCCCGCGGGCTGGCCTGCTTCCAGCCGGCTGCTGCTGGCAAGGGGAGCTTTCTTCTTCCTTGCCTTTTTCTTTACTCTGAATTTTGAAATGGTGAGAGATTCACAGGAAGTCACAAAAAAGTATACAGGGAATAATGATTAGCAAATTGTGTGCCCTCCTATTTCTACTTGAAGACTATAAACAGTGAAGCCCGTTTCGTTCCCCCATCCCCATGGCAACGTCCTAAACCGAGCACAGCCAGCACATCCCTGCGGTACACAGACCTCACTGACATCTCATCAGTTAGCCGGGCAGGTGTGGCTCTGCGGTTAGAATATCAGCCGCTGACCAAAGAGTCACAGGTTCAGTTCCGGTCAAGCACACGTACCTCGGTTGCAGTTCCATCCCTGGCCCTGGTCGGGGTCGTGCGGGAGACAACCAGTCAGTGTGTCTCTCTCACATCGATGCTTCTCTTGCTCACTCCCTCCCTCTCTCTCTTCCTTCCCTCCCACTCTGTCTGAAAATAAGTGGAGAAATATCCTCAGGTGAGGATTTAAAAAAACAAAACAAAACTAAAGATCTCACCAGTTTTACATGTATGCATGTGTACCAGTGTATGTGTGTTTGCGTGTGTGTATATGCACAAGTGCATGTGTATATTCTGTTCAGCTTAGCATATGTGTGTGCTGGTGTGTGTATACATGTGTATCCTGTGCAGTTTATCATGTATGTAAATTTTTGTAATCAATACCACAATCAATATGCAAAACTGCTCCATCAGCACAAATCTTATAAACATGGGTGTGTGTGTTCACTGTCAGCTGTGCGGAGTATTTGTGCTGTTTCATAACTGATGCGTGCCTGTGGATAAGTCCCTTGTCCTTCTGAGCCTGGTTCTTACCATCTAGGAGAAGGGATACTGACTCAAGCTGGTTGTCTGCTAAGTTCCAGGTACTGAGCTGAGCGCATTACTTGAGGTCGTCAGCTCTTGGAGTGTCCACTCGAGGTGTGGTCATACCACCAAGAGAGCCGCAGATTCAAACTGGCCTTTAAAAGTGCGATTCCAATCTCTCCCTACAGCGCCATCTCATTTTGAAATGCCACATTTAGAAGGGCAGAGAATTATTTCTCGAATCCATCTGCTCTGTAATTCACAGTACAAGGCATGTGTCTGAAACAGTCACAAAACTGGGTAGCAGAACGAGGTGGTGGCGGGACTGGACCTGAACTGTGGCCTGTGCTGCACAGCCAGTCACGGCTGCCAAAACGTATGCTAGAGCCTGGAGAGGGCTCCCGTCTTCCCATGGCCCCACCCATCTGTCTGAGCAGGCCCCTCATCTAGCTGCCCGTGAGTCCTTCCCCAACTCTTCCAAGGACGCCCAGCGGCCACTGAGCTCTGCTTTGTGCTCTGCTGTATTTTAGCAAACTTGTCATGGAAGTGTGCGCTGAGAAAATGACACATGTGCACCAACCCAGCAGCCACATCCAGACCTCTGGTCATTTACTCGTGTCAGATAGTCCTGGTGGATGGACTTCCCAGGCAGTGTCAGCAGCTGTCCGCGAACCAGAACGCAGCCCGAATCTGTCCAAGGGTTTAAGGAATTCCAGGAAGGAAAGGGCAAGTTCAGGCCTCCTTCCTTCCCCTGCACTCATCTCGTGTGTGTACTGAGCAGGTTGGCGCTCAGACTGGCATGTCTGAGTCCTGTGCTCTGTGAGCCCAGACACTAGCTGTGCAGAGGCTGAGCCTCGAAAACCCGAACTTCCTGCCTGCGCTGAGGTGTCAGATGTGGCCCTCAGTCCCCCTGGGCGTTGACATTTGTGGCCGGGTTGTTTGTGCTGGGGGTGGTGTGATACCACACTGCACGAGGCGTGGCCCAAACCGTCAGTGACGCTGCGTAACAACAGAGGTGAACTTCTGAACTGCGGAGCTGCCAGTTAACGTCGGGGGAAAGTCCTTTCAGTCGGGCCGACTGTGTGTGTTTCATTCTACCTCACATCATCCTGTCCCTGATCTCCAGAAAAGGGTCACAACGCAAATGAGCGGACAATGTCCACCACCTTGGTAAGGAAGTGCCTGCCCGACGAGAGGAAACGTGAGCCTCACAGGGTCTGCTGGTGGGGACTTGCCGTCCTCTCCAGGGAAAAACAGGAAACAGGACGCGGACCGGGCGCCAGCAGTGAGGGCTCCCTCTCCCCGACACATTCTTTCACTTCTTCGAAGCCCATTTACAATGAATGAGTGAGACGTCAGTCTGAGTGGCCGTGGCCCATGAAGAGTCGGCGCCCAGTGCACTGGAGAAGGCGGGCGAAGACCAGGCTCCCCAGGAGACTGCCTGGTGACGTGTTGTCATCTGCTCCATCGCGAGCGTCGGTGCTGGGTTTGGTTCTCAGGGGCAGGTGGTTAGCTGCTCAGTGTGCTCATCTCAGCAGGGGATAGCTGTGCCCGCTTCATGAGATGTGCGGAGAATTGCGGGACAGTTTGAAAGCTCTAAACCGGGGCCAGTGCTCAGTGAAATGGAGCCAACTGGGACAGCTTTGTCAGCATCGACGGGGTCACTCTGGGCGTTTGTCTGCCCCCCACAGAGCTGGCGTGGTGCCGAGGCCCCTTCCTCAGTTACTGGCACTGAGGGTTTGCTCACAGCTGGGTGAGGTCAGCCAGGAGGGCTGGGCCCAGACCTGTGGTCACACGGGTGGCCTAGTCCTGTGCCCAGGACTTATCGCTGGGCATCCTGCCTGACCATTGCTCCTGCTCTGCCTGTGGCCACTCTGTTCTGCAGGTGAGGAAAAGGCCCAAAAGGACAGTACCCAGCCCTGCCCGCAGCGGGGCAGTGGTGTGGGTGAGTTTGCTGCCTTGTGTGCCCAGGTCGAGGTCTGGGCTTCTCAGTGCCCGTCTCCCCCACTGTTAGTGGAGCTGGGAGCTCAGGGTACCTGATGGATTGGAACCTTTAACCCTCTGGGGGAGTCACGCCTGTCCTGGTCCCTGGGATCTAAGTGGGGGTCAGAGGGAGTATGGTGAATGACACACAGGGTCAGATGTAACCACCACCTGTGAACAGACTCTGTGGCTTTCCACCTTGTGTGGCCATTTTCCCATGGCCCTCTGTCCTTGTGCCTTTCAGGGCAAGGTCCACCTGGAGCTGAGGCTGAGCGAGGTCATCACCGACACGGGTGTCGTCTGCCACAAGCTGGCCACACGGTAAGACACAAGTCTGCCCGGGAATAGTAACTGACCCAGCAGTGGAGTGGGCTGTTGTTTTTCAGACAGATGAATCAGAATTCCCAGACTTGGTGAGTCCCCAAGATGACAGTATTTTTAGAGGTTCCAGCATGCTCTTAATGTACTTCGTAAAGCAGGTCCTGTCCTAGAGGTAGCTCGCCAAAGTCACTGTGTGCTGCGTCCAGGCAGGGAGGTGGTGTCGCACCCTGGCCTTACCAGTGAGGAAACGGGATCCCACTCTCCTTGGCCACCAGTAGGGTTGAAGGAAGGTGGTGAGGCGTGTCCCCCTTTGTTTACTGTCCAAGAAGGCCCTGTCCTGGGCCCAATCAACTCACAGTCATTATCCGATGGTCAGGCTGCAGCGCCGTCACTGAGGAACATGTGGAGGACACGGTGCAGGGACGCAGTGTAGGTCATGGTGAAGGACAGGGTGTGGGGACGCATATAGGACACGGTGAAGGCCAGGGTATAGGACGAGCGTAGGACGTGCAGAAGGCGAGAATGCCCTGTTATCTGAAACCTGGGGACTGGGGAGCATGTGGGAGGTGAGTTCAGCGAGTTTTATCCTTAATGCCTTTCATTATTTTCATTCTTCTTAAAAAATAGATTTTGTAGCCATGAAGAGAGAGTTGCCTATTTTCTTGTTTATCAGTTTATTCTTTGTTCAAAAAGGACTTAAGGCTGCTAAACACCAGCCTCACATAGAACAAGAAAGTGGGAGTTAGTGGTGGGGAGACAGTAGGGACTGGGCTGGGCAGAGCATGGAGCCAGGAGGGCAGACACAGCCGACGTGGGTCAGGCGCCCTGTCCGCAGCATGGCCGGTCCAGCCGCACGGCGACGAGATGCAGGGTGGAGGTTTCTCTCCCTGCCGAGGGCGTTTGTGATGCCAGGCACTGCAGCCATGGTCTTTGCATCTTATTAGGGTGCACGTCAGGCTGTGGTCCCAGGAACACACGTGTCTAAAGTCAGGACTGCCTGTCAGCAGCCGCCGCCGCCCGCGCGTGGCCATGCAGCTATTTCCAGACGCCCACTGCTGGCACATACAATCCCAGAGGCGGGGGACTTGGAACTCAGGCCGAGGGCTTGGGGTTCTGTTATGAAACACAGGAGCGTGCTGTGCACATGGCCTCTTTTTTTGGTTTTGCTTTTTTTAAGGAGCTTTGGTTTGGAGAAGAGGCAAGGGTGGGAAACAGACTGTGCATCCTAGTGTTTCCTGGGAGGAAGGGGCTCCAGCTGTGTGAACAGTCTGGAACCACAGGCCTCAGGCTGCAGGGGCTGTCTTGGACCCTCGCGGACAACTGCTGACAAGCATACCATGTTAGCACTAGGCCGTGTTAGCGCTGGGCCCCACCAACACCGTTTTTCTAACTGCATTCAAATTCATGCAAGGAAAGGAACTGCATTTGTTCCAAAAGCACTTTCTTAAATCTGTGTGGCTCTGTCGACAGTTTTTCTGCTCAAATACTTGTCAGGACGATGTTCACCACCTGCCTCACCAAGCTCTGGGTTCTGTCTCCCAGCGATCAGCTGCACACTGTTTTTGTTAATACTGCAGGTCAATAGTCAATTTTTTCCCTGTGTACATAGGAGGGGCAAGAACTAACGTCATTGGTTCAGGGCCCCTCTCTCCACGCTGCCCCAGATGTGGCGGGTTCTCAGACACATGAAGCCCACCCTGCCTTGGCCTTTGCTTCCGTGACCCTCTGCCTGGAACACCCTCCTCCAGATCCCCCTTAATTCAGGTCTCTATTCAGATGTCCTTCTGGAGAGAGCACAGAAGCCCTCTGTGTCCCCACCCGGTGCCCCTCGGCACTGTGGTGTGTGTGGTTGATGACTGCTGTACTCTGTGCACTTCCCCTAGAATGTGTATTTTCTGGTTCATTGCTATATCCCTGACACTGGGGGCCGGGCTTGGCACATTGTAGGTGCTCAGCAAACACCTGGGTACTAGGTGTGCTCCAGCTTATTTTATGGGGCCCATCCTGTCTAGAGGAGCAGGAAGGAGCCCCAGAGAGGAAACAAAAGGAGGTGTCCTCGCCTTGCTGACTTTTCTGTGAATTCTGAGCAGGACTTGGGCTTCTTGCACATGTGGAAATTGGGCCTGTCACACTCATTAGTACATGCACTAGCACACCCTAATATACACACTAGTATACACTAATAGACACACTAGTACACACAACTAGTATGCCTACTACACATGCTAGCACACACTAGTACATGTGCTAGCACCCATGCTAGTACACACACAAAGATAACCTAGTACACACGCTAGTACATACTAGCTCACATGGTAATACAGTATTATTCACTAGCACACATACTAGTAAGCACTAGTACACACTAGCACACATGCGAGTACACTGGTATACACATGTACACATACTAGTATACACGATCACATACAAGTATATTCACATGTACATGTTAATACATGCTAGTATGCATGTCTACTCACACTAGTACACTTTGTTCAGAGTCCTGGAGTAGAAGGTCCACCACAGAGGGATGATGAGGGAGAGAGAATGGGGAATCCCATAGGGGCTCATAGTTTCTCATCAAGGAAGCCAGAGATTTCTGAGGGACCAGTGGCTTTTCTTTTCTCACTTCACCTCCTCCTGTAGTTTTCTTTTTTTTTACTAAAAAAATATCCTTTACACACTATAAAATTCAATATTTTAAAGTGCATATAGTAGTATATTCACAAGGTGATACAACCATCACCATGAGCTACTGTCTAACCTCATCCCTGTGAGCAGTTGCAGCCCAGCCCCTCCCCCATCCTGGGCACCACTAATGGACTCTGTCCATGGACTTGCCTGTTGTGGTTGTTACATATAACTGGACCCACACAACATGTGGCCCTTTGCGACTGGCTTCTTTCACTTAGCGTCCTGTTTTCACGGTTCCTCCAGGTTGCAGCACGTGTCAGTACTTCATTCCTTTAAAGGGTGAGTGCTATTCCATCCGAGGGGATACCGCATTTTGTCATCTGTCATCCACTGCATCCACTGATGGACATTTGAGTTGTTTCCACTTTTTGGATACTGTGAATAATGCTTTGAGTTTTTGTACAAACTTATGTTTTCATTCCTCTTCGTTATATACCTAGGAGTAGAATTGCTGGGTCTTATTGTAATTCTGTGTTTAACTTTTTGAGAAACTGCCAGACTGTTTGTCAGAGTGGCTGCCCTATTTTACACCCACCAGCTGAATGTGAGGGCTCCAATTTCTCCACATCCTTGCTAACTCTGTTATTATTGGCTGACATTTTTATTGCAGCCATCCTAGTGGGTGTAAAGTGGTTTTGACTTACATTTCCCCAAATGTAATGACTGATGATGTTGACCATCCTTCCTCGTCTTTGTTGGCCATTTCTATATTTTCTCTTAAGAAATGTCTATTCAAGTCTTTTACTGGTTTTTTAATTGGGTTATTAGTATTTTTATTATTAAGTTGTAGGAGTTTTTCATATATTCTAATACTAGACTCATGTCAAATGTATAATTTGCAAATATATTCTGTTATTCTGTTGGTTGTCTTTACTTTCTTGATAGTGTTCTTTGTAATATAAAAACTTTAAATGTTGATGAAATCCAATTAATTTACTTTATTTAGGTGTCTAGGAAACCATTTCCTAGTCCAAGGTCACAGAAATTCACTGATGTTTTCCTTCCAAGATCTTAATACTTTTAGTTCTTAACTTTAGATCTTTGATACATTTGGAGTTAATTTTTATATACGGTGTGAGGTAGAGGTTAGCATTATTTATTATTGTTATTATTACTATTTTGCATTTGAATATCCAGTTATCCAGCATCATTTGTTGAAAAGACCATTCTGTCCTATCAGATTATCTTGGCATTTTGTTGAAAGGCATTGGCTATAAATGCATGAGCTTATGTGTTGACTCTTTCTGTTCAATTGATGTATATCCCTGTGCTAGTATCAGGCAGTTTTGGTTACTATAGATTTGTTGTAGCTTTTGAAATCAGAAAGTGTGAGTCTTTTAACTTGGTTCTTCTTTTCCTGATTGGCTATTCTTAGCTTCTTTTACTTCCATGTGAACTTTAGGATCAGCATTTTAATTTCTGCAAAAATAGCAGCTGGCATTTGATAGGGATTGTACTGAATCTGTAGATCAGTTTGGGGAATTAATAATACCACGTCTCCTAAACCCTGAACACAGTTTCTTTCTATTCTGTAATTTCTTTTAAAACTTTTGTTTATGTAAGGTCATCGGTAACGTCCTCTCTCTTATTACTGACTTTAATACATTGAGTCTCCTCTTTATCTTGATCAGTTTAGCCGAAGATTTGTCAAGTCTGTTGATCTTTCAAAGACCCCATTTTTTGTTTCGTTGATTCTTCTGCATTATTTTTCTATTCTCTACTTCATTATCTCTGCTGTAATCTTGATTATTTCCTTTTCTTCTATCTCTGTTGTGTTTGTTTTTTTCTTTATCTGGTTTCTTAAGGTGGAAGTTTAGGTTATCAATTTGAGATCTGTTTTTGTGTTTAATATGGGTGTTTATAGCTCCAGATTTCTCAGAATCACCACTATAGTTTTTACATTTTACAGCTTCCTTTCTTAGAGCTCCCTGGGTCTGTTCTACATGCTTGAGACTTTCTACAAACAGCTCTGAATCAGGACAGAACAGGAAACAATGGGCACCCACTTGTGATCAGGTGCAGAAGGCTCTAGTCCCCAAACCCTGGTGTCCAAGGTCAGCAGATCTTCCTTACCTGTGTGACACTGGGCAGACTACTCACACCCCTGCGCATCATGTTCTCCGTGTGGGAAGGGAGCAGTGGCCTTTGTGCTGGCATTTTCCAGGATGTGGAATGGAGCCTAGCCTGTGTGTAGGTCCACTCGTCCTGGTGTCTCAAAGGTAGCTGGGCTCGGGCCCATCCATGTGCGTAGTAGGCTCAGGAGAAGTGAAGAGATGGGATGATGGGCCACTGAAGAGAAGCCAGTT